GGGCAGGTGTGGGCAAACGCCAGCTGTGGTGGAACTACAAATCCCATGAGGCATTGTAAGATTCTCACAGCCAGGGGCATGGCTCCCAGAGGCAGATGCATGATGGGATTTGTAGTTTAACCACAGCTGGGGGGCCGGAGTTTTTCCACCTCTGACCTAGGGGCTCAAAGAAAGAGGAAACACTCGTTTGGTCCTGTGGCAGTGACCACTCACCTCTCTCTCCCCCTCTTCTCCGGTGGTGGAATGCCCCTTGGCGGCCTCATGTCTAACAGACCTGCATTTAAAGGTGATGAGGTCACGAGTCCTTAGACTGAGGAGATGCTGCAGGGACCGGTCTAGCAGCCAGGCAGGACCGAGGATCAGGTGAGTATATCCTCTTTATTTTCGCCCCCGAGACAAAACGAGCATTTAACCCTCGCAGTCCAGGGGGTAGCCCCACTACAAGGACCAATATCTAAAAATTCCGGAGTTCTTCTTTAAGGTGCAACTGAAGACAAATCTACCTTTTTTTTTTTTTTCTTTAGTTTTGGATAGAGTGGAGAGGTGTGGGGGCACCTGTCAGGTTTTTATCGCTGTCTGTGTCCCCATTAGGGAATTCACACTCTCTATTGGTCCTGGTGAATGTTAACAGTGAAAGTCAAAGAAAATACAACATTTTGCGGTGTCACCAGAACAGGAATAGATGGGAAATCTTCCAATGGGGACCTAAGTTCTGCTGACCAGCAGGGATTTCCTTCACTTTGGAGGGATTTCCTCTCCCTTCCTGTTGCGGCTATTAGACATGAAGTGAAGGGAAATCTCCCCAATGGGACACAGATGGCAAAAAAAAGGCTGACAGGGGTTCTAACCCTCCCTTACTCTATACGAAATCTTGGCTTCAGTTCTACTTTGTGCTGGTTGGGTGTCGGGGTGGAGGACTCGGCTGTCCTCGCTCTTCTCTCTCTGACGCTCCGGGTTGCGGGCGATCCCTCGCCGTCCTCATGTACAACACGGGGCTATTAATCCAGCATTGTGTGTGATGACGTCCGTGTGCAGCCAGAGCGTCCCAGCCCCCCGTTTACATTGTGTGTGCCGGGGAACGCACGCACAGTCCTCTGCGTTTCCACAGCGCAGGGAAATGTTTCGGTTTTGCAGACACGCTCCGTAGCGACTCTGCGCCTCCAAAAATCACACGCGTCGTACCGCGGCAAACACCGGTGCTTAGTCCCGAGTCTCTTCTCATTGCTCAGCGTGGTCATGTGGCTGTGCTGACCAATGAGCGCTCCATACCGCGGAGCTGGGAAGCCCGGTGTATGGCTGGCAGGCACGCGCATGTAAAGTTGGGTGTAGCCTGTTATATGTTCTCCCTCCATCCCCCCGCACAGTGCGGACGGACAGGGCGATCCTTTGACTTGAACGCATGTGCACATTCTGGCGTTCTGCATGCTTGTCCTGGGTCAGCGCCAGGCAGCACTGCATCTTCCAGAGTCATGTCTCCTTTAACTACAGCATCTTGTCGCGGTGTAAAGATGGCGGTACGCATCCGTGGTAGTGCAGCGGGCTCATGATCAGATCTGACTTCACAGTCAATGGTCGAATGTAAGAGCTCCGGACATCTGGTATCCAAGCTTATCTCCCTCGGAGCGCGGGGGAGGGGGAGCAGAAGCTGAAAAATGACAGCCACGTATTGTGACCGTACAGTCGTTGGGTTATCAATACCCTGCGATCAGGTTATTGGCGATTTTATAATTACCAGTTATGCGGAGATCAGGTCCAGGACTCCTACCGCACATCCGGCATGCTGTACTAGTCCGGCAGCTAACACTCCTCCTTTGATTCTTGCTGTTGCCGGGCCGGTGTCTCTGACATCAGACTGCACTCGGCAATGCACAGCCAGGCAGCGGCCGAGATGGTTTCTGGATCATAGAACACTTTCCTCTTGTGTAACCCTGCGACTGGGTGAGATGTCGGAGACCCTCCCCGTTCCGCATTCACAGGCTGTGGAGACGCATGCAGCGTTCTTATAACAGACCTGGGGTAGGCAAGCTCAGCAATCTGACTGTAGTGCAACTACAAGTCCCAGGAAGCATTGCAAGACTCTTGACGGTCACAGGCATGCCTGCCAGGAGCAGAGGCATGACGGGGTTTGTAGTTTCCGCACAGCTGGAGTGCTAATAGACATTCTATTTTGTTGGTAGGCAGACTCTGGCCCTCCAGCCACGGCGAAACTACAAATCCCAGTATACCTGTGGCTGTCAGTCTTGTAATGCCTCATGGGACTTGTAGTTCCAAAGCAGCTGGTGTTTGCCCGCCCCTGCTCTATTCGAATCGGTCTTTGCATGCCTGAAGCTGAGCTCTAGGCATAATCTGATTTCCCCCCCCTAACTAATTACTAGGTTGTTGGTAATGAACCTAATCTAAAAGCCCCTCTTACGTACCTAAATCTGTGGTCATGTGACATGTCAGGTCCTGGGACTTATCTTCATTGTAGAGTGGGGGGGTCCTTCTTTAGGTGTCATCATCACTTGACACTTCCTATTGGCACGGTCCTTTCAAGCTTTGGAAGACAGCAGCAGAGAGATGACATCACAGATATCGCCTCCAGGATGTGGTGTTTGTTTTTTTTTTTTTTTACTGTTGGGGCTTCGGGGAAATATTGGGGGTCTAAACGCCCCCTGATATTTCCCTTTTAAAATAGAAAAAAGAAATTGAGGTCACAAAGTCCTCAATCTCTTTTTCTGCAGCCTCCTTTCTAAATGAATGGAAAGCACAGAGGCTTCCCATTCATTCAGAAACTATTTATTATCATCCAGTTCCTGAATGGGGAGGAGCCTCTGTACAGAGTGCTTCTCCCCATTGAGAAACTCATGAATGAAAGGAAGTGATGTAAAGCACTTCCTGTTCATTCATAACTGGGGACACATAGTATTATGTAAAAAGAAACAGGAACCATACCGCACTGCTTACCGGGATTTCCACTTGATGAAGATGGGTGCTCTAAATGACTGCGGATGTACATAGACTGCGGATGTACATAGTACTATGTGTCCCCAGTTATTTTCAAACACTGGAGTGATCAGACAACCGCTCCAGTGTTTTCCCTGCACGCTGATATGTACCGATCCTCTGCCGCACGGCCACGCACATGGGGGGCTCAACCTGCAACCCAAGGGGTAAGTGCTTGTTTTGTCTAGGGAGCTAAAAAATACCTTCAGCAGCACTTCTTTACTAACCCAAGTCCTCCACCCATATCCCTCGCCGATGCCACTTCTGGATGTGCCGACTTGTGATCCAGGGCCGTAGCAAGGGCGAGGCGACTGAGGCTCTTGCCTCGGGCGCAGCCAGCAGGGAGAAGTGGGGCTTCTCCTCTGGATCCCCGCTGCTCTCCCTCATCTGTATGCAGCGGGGGTAGGCAACCTCGGCTCTCCAACTTGTGTGGAACAGGTGACAGGTTCTTAGAAAGTTGCTCAGCCGCTGAACACTGTGCTGCAAGTCAGCGCTCAGCACTGCTAACTTAGCCGGCTTCATGGTCCCTCATCACCTGGTGAGGAGGGAGCATGGAGCCAGATTCCCGGCCAATAAGGAAGCCGGGCGCTAGCTTCTCCACCAATCAGGAGGCCGGGCAACACGTCAGTACATGGCGCCCGGCTTCCTGTTTGGCCACAAAGCCGGCTCTGTGCTTTCACATCACCTGGTGACGAGGGAGCATGGAGACGGCTTCCATGCCAATCGGGAAGCTGGGCGGCGAGTCATTACACACCGCCTGGCTTCCTTAATGGGACTTTTGGTATCAGTATTTGGTATGCGCGAGTACCGGAAAAAAATATCGGTACTCGATACCGAAAAAAACGGTATCGGTGCATCTCTAATTGCGGCGGGTGCTACTGAGGCGGGTGCTACTAGGATGGGGCTACTGGGGCGGGTGCTACTAGGGGGGTGGTAGTAGGACTTTATGTAACACTGTCATGTCCACTTTAGACTTTGTTGCTTTACTGGTTCCCGGAGGAATATTCTTCCCTCTGAGGAAATGACAGCTTGCTCTACATGTGTTCTACAAGCTGAGGTACGAGGGGCTTTACCTGTCTTTGTTCTCAGCAGTGATGTGATTGATGGATGTTTTGGAGATCTGTCTTGATGTTCCAGACACCGTCTTACACGTGTGTTTAGACACAAACAAGTTAGAGGACTCAATGACACGGAACATCGTGACTGTCACCTGCTGTCGTCACGCATAGCATTGTGCGCTCGCTTATGTTTTCCAGTATAGAGTTCTGCTTCACCATCTCCCTCTTTTCCACTTGTCCGTGCCCTCTCCCTCTTTTCCAATTGTCCGTGCCCTCTCCCTCTTTTCTTCTTCTCCGTGACCTCTCCCTCTTTTCCACTTGTCCGTGCCCTCTCCCTCTTCTCTTCTTCTCTGTGCCCTCTCCCTCTTTTCCCCTTGTCCGTGCCCTCTCCCTCTTCTCTTCTTCTCTGTGCCCTCTCCCTCTTTTCCCCTTGTCCGTGCCCTCTCCCTCTTCTCTTCTTCTCTGTGCCCTCTCCCTCTTTTCCCCTTGTCCGTGCCCTCTCCCTCTTCTCTTCTTCTCTGTGCCCTCTCCCTCTTTTCCCCTTGTCCGTGCCCTCTCCCTCTTCTCTTCTTCTCTGTGCCCTCTCCCTCTTTTCCCCTTGTCCGTGCCCTCTCCCTCTTCTCTTCTTCTCTGTGCCCTCTCCCTCTTTTCCCCTTGTCCGTGCCCTCTCCCTCTTCTCTTCTTCTCTGTGCCCTCTCCCTCTTTTCCCCTTGTCCGTGCCCTCTCCCTCTTCTCTTCTTCTCTGTGCCCTCTCCCTCTTTTCCCCTTGTCCGTGCCCTCTCCCTCTTCTCTTCTTCTCTGTGCCCTCTCCCTCTTTTCCCCTTGTCCGTGCCCTCTCCCTCTTCTCTTCTTCTCTGTGCCCTCTCCCTCTTTTCCCCTTGTCCGTGCCCTCTCCCTCTTCTCTTCTTCTCTGTGCCCTCTCCCTCTTTTCCCCTTGTCCGTGCCCTCTCCCTCTTCTCTTCTTCTCTGTGCCCTCTCCCTCTTTTCCCCTTGTCCGTGCCCTCTCCCTCTTCTCTTCTTCTCTGTGCCCTCTCCCTCTTTTCCCCTTGTCCGTGCCCTCTCCCTCTTCTCTTCTTCTCTGTGCCCTCTCCCTCTTTTCCCCTTGTCCGTGCCCTCTCCCTCTTCTCTTCTTCTCTGTGCCCTCTCCCTCTTTTCCCCTTGTCCGTGCCCTCTCCCTCTTCTCTTCTTCTCTGTGCCCTCTCCCTCTTTTCCCCTTGTCCGTGCCCTCTCCCTCTTCTCTTCTTCTCTGTGCCCTCTCCCTCTTTTCCCCTTGTCCGTGCCCTCTCCCTCTTCTCTTCTTCTCTGTGCCCTCTCCCTCTTTTCCCCTTGTCCGTGCCCTCTCCCTCTTCTCTTCTTCTCTGTGCCCTCTCCCTCTTTTCCCCTTGTCCGTGCCCTCTCCCTCTTCTCTTCTTCTCTGTGCCCTCTCCCTCTTTTCCCCTTGTCCGTGCCCTCTCCCTCTTCTCTTCTTCTCTGTGCCCTCTCCCTCTTTTCCCCTTGTCCGTGCCCTCTCCCTCTTCTCTTCTTCTCTGTGCCCTCTCCCTCTTTTCCCCTTGTCCGTGCCCTCTCCCTCTTCTCTTCTTCTCTGTGCCCTCTCCCTCTTTTCCCCTTGTCCGTGCCCTCTCCCTCTTCTCTTCTTCTCTGTGCCCTCTCCCTCTTTTCCCCTTGTCCGTGCCCTCTCCCTCTTCTCTTCTTCTCTGTGCCCTCTCCCTCTTTTCCCCTTGTCCGTGCCCTCTCCCTCTTCTCTTCTTCTCTGTGCCCTCTCCCTCTTTTCCCCTTGTCCGTGCCCTCTCCCTCTTCTCTTCTTCTCTGTGCCCTCTCCCTCTTTTCCCCTTGTCCGTGCCCTCTCCCTCTTCTCTTCTTCTCTGTGCCCTCTCCCTCTTTTCCCCTTGTCCGTGCCCTCTCCCTCTTCTCTTCTTCTCTGTGCCCTCTCCCTCTTTTCCCCTTGTCCGTGCCCTCTCCCTCTTCTCTTCTTCTCTGTGCCCTCTCCCTCTTTTCCCCTTGTCCGTGCCCTCTCCCTCTTCTCTTCTTCTCTGTGCCCTCTCCCTCTTTTCCCCTTGTCCGTGCCCTCTCCCTCTTCTCTTCTTCTCTGTGCCCTCTCCCTCTTTTCCCCTTGTCCGTGCCCTCTCCCTCTTCTCTTCTTCTCTGTGCCCTCTCCCTCTTTTCCCCTTGTCCGTGCCCTCTCCCTCTTCTCTTCTTCTCTGTGCCCTCTCCCTCTTTTCCCCTTGTCCGTGCCCTCTCCCTCTTCTCTTCTTCTCTGTGCCCTCTCCCTCTTTTCCCCTTGTCCGTGCCCTCTCCCTCTTCTCTTCTTCTCTGTGCCCTCTCCCTCTTTTCCCCTTGTCCGTGCCCTCTCCCTCTTCTCTTCTTCTCTGTGCCCTCTCCCTCTTTTCCCCTTGTCCGTGCCCTCTCCCTCTTCTCTTCTTCTCTGTGCCCTCTCCCTCTTTTCCCCTTGTCCGTGCCCTCTCCCTCTTCTCTTCTTCTCTGTGCCCTCTCCCTCTTTTCCCCTTGTCCGTGCCCTCTCCCTCTTCTCTTCTTCTCTGTGCCCTCTCCCTCTTTTCCCCTTGTCCGTGCCCTCTCCCTCTTCTCTTCTTCTCTGTGCCCTCTCCCTCTTTTCCCCTTGTCCGTGCCCTCTCCCTCTTCTCTTCTTCTCTGTGCCCTCTCCCTCTTTTCCCCTTGTCCGTGCCCTCTCCCTCTTCTCTTCTTCTCTGTGCCCTCTCCCTCTTTTCCCCTTGTCCGTGCCCTCTCCCTCTTCTCTTCTTCTCTGTGCCCTCTCCCTCTTTTCCCCTTGTCCGTGCCCTCTCCCTCTTCTCTTCTTCTCTGTGCCCTCTCCCTCTTTTCCCCTTGTCCGTGCCCTCTCCCTCTTCTCTTCTTCTCTGTGCCCTCTCCCTCTTTTCCCCTTGTCCGTGCCCTCTCCCTCTTCTCTTCTTCTCTGTGCCCTCTCCCTCTTTTCCCCTTGTCCGTGCCCTCTCCCTCTTCTCTTCTTCTCTGTGCCCTCTCCCTCTTTTCCCCTTGTCCGTGCCCTCTCCCTCTTCTCTTCTTCTCTGTGCCCTCTCCCTCTTTTCCCCTTGTCCGTGCCCTCTCCCTCTTCTCTTCTTCTCTGTGCCCTCTCCCTCTTTTCCCCTTGTCCGTGCCCTCTCCCTCTTCTCTTCTTCTCTGTGCCCTCTCCCTCTTTTCCCCTTGTCCGTGCCCTCTCCCTCTTCTCTTCTTCTCTGTGCCCTCTCCCTCTTTTCCCCTTGTCCGTGCCCTCTCCCTCTTCTCTTCTTCTCTGTGCCCTCTCCCTCTTTTCCCCTTGTCCGTGCCCTCTCCCTCTTTTCCACTTGTCCGTGCCCTCTCCCTCTTTTCCACTTGTCTGCGCCCTCTCCCTCTTTTCCACTTGTCTGTGCCCTCTCTCTCTTTTCCACTTGTCCGTGCCCTCTCCTCCACTTGTCCGTGCCCTCTCCCTCTTTTGCATTTCCTCCCTTTTTTCTCCTTTTGACCCTGAGTCTTGGCTGCGGTCCCTGAGCCGGCTGTCTCTGTTTGTCTCATACAGGGTAGCACTTGCATCCATGCCCAGGAGGAGGAGGTGGCGGCCAGCATATGCCCGGTGAGAGGAATCCCACGCCCCCAGACCCCGACCAGCAAGTCATGACTGAACCAGGACGGGCTCGCATATTACTGGACTGGAGAGTGGACTTTGGATGTAGGCACCACAGCTGAGGACTGGATTGGACATGTTCAACAGACATTACAGATGAGAAAGAACTTTGTCAATGATCTCCAGGAAAGAAAGACTGGAACATTGGAATTACAAACATACACACCTGAAAGCTGTACTAGGCTGGGCCAAGGGACCATAAACAGGTGCCATCGACGCCTATATATTGTGTGGGAACGATCGCGGTCATCGGAAGACGCTGGAAGAACGGATTATTTTTCTGAACCTCCTTCCGTCTCCTACAGTCACATGATTAGTTATTTGTGGATATGTCCATTACGGCCGTCCTTCCTTTCCTGAAGAAGTTACAAAGCCATTGACCCACAACGTGCTGCCGTTTCCCCTTATTTATCATTTGTCTTGTCCCCTGGCGAACCTTTTGTTGGTTACGTCCATTTCTTTTGTCTCCCACACCATGAGCTCCCTGCTGCCATTTGACAGCGTGCTGTGTAATCTGCTGGGCCTGTCTGTTACCCTCTGGTTCACCCTCCTCCTGGTCTTCATCATCGTACCTGCCATCTTCGGGGTTTCCTTCGGCATCCGCTGGCTGTACATGAAAACCTTGCTCCGAATTTTCACGGTAAGTCGCCTTGTGTTGATATCTTTGTGTCGTATAGAAGTGTGAGCAGCCCGCGGCTTCTCAGCTGTTTTTCCAGCGTGCCCTGCCAGCACGCAGCTATCGCTGGAAGCTCCGGTGACACAGAGAGCCCTCAGGCTATCTACAGCTGCTCAGTGCTGCTAGAAAAACAATCCACTTAGCTTCTTTTTCCATGGACGCCCGGTCATGCTAGATAACCATATTTACCTCCGTCTGGGGAGCCATCGCTTGCAGCTTTCTGCTTGTTGTCTACCTTTGCATTAGCGGCAGACAGTACAGACTGCAGCTGATGATTGCATCTCAGAAGCGGCTTACGTTAAATTGAATTCATTTTGCAAAAAAAGCCATAAAATGTATATTGTACGTATCGGTATGCTCCTTTTTCTCTGTGACCATGACAAGAGGAATATGAAGAGGTATAGCTTGTAGTATAGGGACATTCGTTTAGATGGGGGCTGCAACCAACTAATTGATCGATAATGAGAATAATTGACAACCATTTTCATTATCGATTAGTTGGTTGGATCACCTAGGTCTCTCCTCCACGCTGGGAGATGGTGTTTCATTGGCTCTGTGTCCTCTCCAATCAAAGATATGATAAATGTCACCAGCACACCTATGTCTTGTGTCGATAATCCATCTTCTTTATTGATGCAGACCGTCACAAAACAATGTTGATCAGGTTTTAGTATGACCTGGTTGGTTGGATCCCCTAGCTCTCTCCTCCTTGCTGTGAGAAGGTGTTTTATCGGCTCTGCTTCCCCTCCGATCAAAGGGCACAGTAAGCAGTGGGCGGGTGCAGTAGCCAGCCTGCTATTGGCTTTTGCAATGTGAAATGGCCAATAGCAGGCTGGCTATTGCACCAGCCCACTACCTGCTGTATTTACATTCAGCTGCCGTCTGTGGAATCCTGCCACCGGCAGCTATCACTCCCGGGCTGAAGCTATTCAAACTCCATGTGCTTACAATACAATTATTAATTTCAATGGGACCCCAACTGCGCCTCCCACCCGCAGTGCGATCGCCCGCACTGGACTTGACGGTACTGCAATGCCATGCATTCCAGTGCAGTTCGATTGCAAAATATTGTGCGTGCAGTTTTATTTTGAAGTGCACTTTGTAAATCTCGATCTGTGTATTTTATATTAAATTAAGGATAGTATTTAACTACCTCCCGGCCGACCTCTAGATCTGAGCGGGTGCCCACTAGCGCGTGCCACAGTTAAACACCATCAATTTAAAAACAGGCTCTGATGCCTGTTAACATGCAAGTGATCCGCCGGCTATAGACCTGGCGGATCGCTCGTATGAGCTGCCGGCCCGTGTGTCCCCCACTCCTCTCCCCAGCTCCCCCACCTCCGTGGCTCCCCCTCCCGTTGTCACACTGGTCCCGAGCCCTGCTGTGCCCGGTGCGAGCCCGGGACCAGCATAGTGCCTCTGTGAGAGGGGATCAGAGGGAGGTCGGTACACAATCACCCTCCGGTCCCCTCTCCGCTATCAGAATGCGGAAGTGATGTATATTACATCACTTCCGCATTTATGTGTCACTCTCCAGTTTTAGAAGATGGAGAGAAGCTGATGAAGCAGATCTCTGCTTCATCAGCTTTTTAGGGGGGATCCTAGGTGATATTAGGGGTCTTAGAGAAATTTTTTTTTAAAGCCCCCACCAATACATGCACGAATGCAAACATGCGTCTGGGGCGCATACCTGCGAAAATGACGATTGTGACCATTATGCCGCACATGTTACATATCGCCGTGAACGTCGCAGTGAGAGCAATCATTCTAGGGCCATCAATCACTGATAACACTAAACTGATGAGCGGTAAAAGCTTTTAAAGCGTCGCCTATGGCCAATTTTGGGTATGGTAATTTTTTGCGATTTCGCGGGTGTGTGCAATTTTTAAGCTTGACATGTTTGGTGTCTATTTACCCTATTTTTTTTTTTAACCAAAGAATTGGGTAATAATAATTGTTTCCTAACATAATGTAAACAATTTCAGTACATTTTCTGAAATATAGTAAAAAAAACAAACCTCAGTGGTGATTAAATACCACCAAAAGAAAGCTTTATCTGTCCCCAAAAAAGGGTATAAAATTCATTTCAGTACAGCGCTGCATGACGGAAAAAACGTCAGTCAAAGTACCGCAGCGCTGAACACTGAAAAATGGCCGGGACAGGAAGGGGGTCTAACACCTGGTCTTGAAGTGGTTACATTTTTTTTAACCCGATTTAATCAATTATGAAAATAATCATTAGTTGCATTCCTAATTTTTAGATTGGTTTGATGATTGTAGGGCTGCAACAACTAATCAATTAAATCGATTATGAGAATAGTTGGCAACTACTCATTATCGATGAGAGAGAGAGAGATTTTTGAATGCAACCAATCGATTTAATTGAAAAATAATGGGGCAACTAATCGATTATGAAAATAATTATTAGCTGCAGCCCTAGATGAATGCAGTACCCGTAGCTGGGCTGGACAAATCTCAGGAGCCAGGTAGCCAATGCTGCTTAAAGGAAAACTATGGCCCAACCTTTTTTTTTTTGCCATTTGTCACAGGAGGACATATACTAATGTCCTCCTGTGACCCAAAACTCTGCATATAGTGGGCTATTGCTTGCTATAGGCTGACAGCGCAGAGCAGCACAGAATCCAGGATGCTTCCCGACAATATTGTTGGGATCCACCCCGCGGCCTGACTGACAGCTGGCTCTGCCTCTCTAGAAGCAGGGCCAGCTCTATCCGCCTCCTCCCTGTCCGTTCCTCCAGTCAGCGTTGGAGGAATGAAGAAGGGAGGAGGCAATCCCTGGGGGTAACACTCACCACTCTCTGCAGGGGGATGATCAGGAACTCAGTGGTATGTGATCGCTGAGTTCTCGATCAATAGAGCCGACTTGTGGCAGCTGCAGTGTCACACGTCGGCTCTAATTATAGGGATGAGTATCACTTCTGTTCCCTGAGCTGTCATTCCCTGGATGCAGAAGCCGGGGAAGTAGCTATTGGAGCTATGACTTAAAGCAGAACTCCGGGTAAATTTTGTATTAACCCTTGCAGTGAGTCTATCCCTGCACTACAAGGGTTAAGTGCTCGTTTTTGCCAAGGGTAAAAAATAAAGCTATACTCACTCGCCTGATCCTCGGCTGAGCCGGCTTGCTCTTCGATTGGTTACTGGAGCCTCTCTCCCTCTACTCCGCAGTGGTCTAACGTCACGTTCTGTACACAGTGTATAAGAAGTGAGATCTTCTTCACATCACGTTCTATACACAGATTGTAAACCCTCAGGGGCAGGGCCCTCCTTACCATCCTGTCTTGAATTGTATTGTAACTGTAATGTCTTCCTTACATTGTAAAGCGCTGCGCAAACTGTTGGCGCCATATAAATACTATGTAATAATAATAATCTGCTTCCCATCACGTTCTATACACCGTGTATATAAGGCGTGAGATCTGCGTCACATCACGTTCTATACACAGGGTATAAGACGTGAGATCTGCTTCACATGACGTTCAATACACACTGTATGAGATGTGAGATCTGCTTCACATCACGTTCTGTACACAGGGTATAAGGCGTGAGATCTGCTTCCCATCACGTTCTATACACCTTGTATAAGAAGTGAGATCTGCTTCACATCACGTTCTATACACACTGTATAAGATGTGAGATCTGCTTCACATCACGTTCTGTACACCGGGTATAAGGCGTGAGATCTGCTTCCCATCACGTTCTATACACCGTGCATAAGATGCGAGATCTGCGTCACATCACGATCTATACACCGTGTATAAGACGTGAGATCTGCTTCCCATCACGTTCTATACACCGTGCATAAGACGTGAGATCTGCGTCACATCACGTTCTATACACTCTGTATAAGACGTGAGATCTGCTTCCCATCACGTTCTATACACCGTGCATAAGATGCGAGATCTGCGTCACTTCACGTTCTATACACCGTGTATAAGATGTGAGATCTGCGTTACATCACGTTCTATACACAGTGTATATGATGTGAGATTTGTTTCACCAGCTTCTTCTGCAGCTACAGCAGCCAGAGGAATGACACTGAAACCGGAAGTAACGTAATACACACCGGTTTCAGTGATCAGAGGGGAGATCAGCTGCTGGAAGTGTACTGGTCTCCCTCCGATCAATGTACACTGACCCACTGTACCGGCCCCGGCCCTGGGGGAGAGCGGAGCCCGGGTTAGCTGGCAACAGAGGTTGGGGGGCGCACTCTCCCACGCACCATGCCATGCAGCTCTTTAGCCTCCTGAACGCTTGTATGCAACAGCCAAGAAATGCTTACTGTGTCATGCTTGTGCGCAAGCGAGCGGTAAAATAAAAAAAAAGCCATTTATTTACGGGACCGCATTCCAAGAGCGAGCCCAGCCCCCATTTATATACAACGGCCGGAGGACAAGCGGTTAAACAATGTCCTGGGGAATGGTCCTTCGATTCATAATAGTGAAATCATTGTAAAAGGTTGGAGGCTTTAGAACAGGGGTAGCAAACCTCCGGCCCTCCAGCTGTGGTGGAACTACAAATCCCATGAGGCATTGCAAGATTCTCACAGACATGACTCCCCGAGAGAGATGCATCATGGGATTTGTAGTGTCACCACAGCTGGCGGGCCGGAGGTCTGCTACCCCTGCGTTAGAGCTACATTACACCCTAGTTTTTTTTTTCTTTTTCTTTTTTTTTTTTACTTTACGTTGGTGGAAATTGCACATTGTACCTTTTTTGTTGTTTGTTTAAAAACCATATTTTATGACCAGCAAGGACTTTCTGAAAGGCTTATGTCATGGATTAAAGGAGAACTATGGGGTCAGGGCTTTTCCCCATAGTTCTCCTAAGGGTAACGGGAGGACACAAACTAGCGTCCTCCCGCCACCCTAGGCTCAGTATACGGCTACAGGTCGCGGTATACTGAGACGCCGCAGCCGGGACGGATCCCGATAATAGTGTCTGGATCCGCCCAGCTGCGTGAGTGACAGCTGGCTCTGCCTATCTAGAGGCTGAGCCGGCTGTGCCCGCCCCCTCCCCCGTCCGTTCCGCCAGTCAGCGCTGGAGGAGAGGGGAGGGGGGAATCCCTGCAGGGAGCCGTGAGTGACAGTCACGGCTCTCTGCAGGGATAGATCGACAAGTGAGCGAGCGACGGTATGTGTTCGCTCACTTCCCGATCTATTGCAGTGACGTGTGACAGTCTCATTGTCACAGGTCGGCTGAGATTATAAGGCTGAGTGAAAATCACTCGCCTCATAGTTCTCCTTTAATGTATTTTACAAATGCTGTATATGCAACTTTATATATTGTATATGCATAACGCAGCTCATCATTGTGTTATAGCTGTATAATAAATGACAGTTCCATCATTTTATAACACATTTTGTCTTTTCTGCAGTGGGCCACCTTGCGAATTGAGAGGGGCGTGAAGGAGAACTGTCATACCCTGTACAAACCTTTATCTAATGGTATGCAGATTATAAGTACTTTATATTCCCTGAGTTTTGGCTTCTCATGTCGCAGTTTGCCAAGTTTAGATAAACCTGTGTACAGAAATCTGTGTGTGGACTAATGAATGTACATAATATGGATCAGGTATAAAAGGAAAGGCCGGAAATGTTTCCTTTTTGGCATAATGAGTAGAGGTGCACCGAAATGGAAATTTTAAAACCGAAACGAAACCGAAATAAAAAAAAATGTCAGGCCGAAACCGAAATGGATACTGAAAATGTTTTTTATTTTTATTTTTTTCAATATTTTATTTTTTATAAACTTTTTAAATTTTTTATATTCATTTTTATTTATTCATTCATTTTTTATTAAATATTTATATTTTTTACTTTACTTTTAATTGGGAAATATTATGGGTCTAAACAGACCCCTGATATTTCCCTTTTAAAATAGAAAAAGAGATTGAGAACACACAGTCTTCAATCTCTTTTTCTGTGTCCCCTGTTATAAATGAGCAGGAATCCTTTATGAGTGTTCCTGTTCATTGATAACATGGTTTGTTTACTATAACCACAATTATGAATGAACAGGAGGGGATGTAGAGGTGATGTAGATGACTTCCCATTCATTCATAATTGAGGATATAGTTAACATACCATATGCTCAAAGAGTGTGTGTACCTTGCTTTTCTCTCTGACACGCTGTCACAGGAGGCTGATCGAGCGGTGTAGAGAGGAGAGCCCAGGCCTCCTTCTCCTTTAAAGGAGAACTATGGGGTTAAGTCTTTTCCCCATAGTTCTCCTTAGGGTCACGGGAGGACGCAAACTAGCGTCCTCCCGTCACCCTAGGCTCAGTATACCGCGAGCTGTAGCTCGCGGTATACTGAGATGCCGCTCGCGGTATACTGAGACGCTGAAGCGGATCCCGACAATTGTGCCGGGATCCGCCCAGCTGCGTGACTGACAGCGGGCTCTGCCTATCTAAAGGCAGAGCCAGCTGTACCCGCCCCCTCCCCCGTCCGTTCCGCCAGTCAGCGCTGGAGGATCGGAGAGGGGAATCCAGTCCCTCCCCTGTGACGGCACAGAGCTGTGACAGGATCGAGAGGTGAGCGAACGCCGGTATGTGTTCGCTCACCTCCCGATCTACTGAGCCGACCTGTGACAGTCTCATTGTCACAGGTCGGCTAGAACTATGAGGTGAGTAAAAAGCACCCACCTCATAGTTCTCCTTTTAATATGTACAGTCTGGAGGAATGGGGGACTGGGATTGGTGAAACCTTTAACTACATGAAAGGTGTGAATAAGGTTGAGAAAGGCCGTGTTCTCAATACGAAGCTAAGATCCTGGAACACGGGGACTTTATCAAAGTTTTATACAAGTAATAAATTTAACAACATTTGCTCTCACAACCGGAACACGGGGACTTTAAACAAGCAGGAGAAAAGTACTTTTTCCAAAGAGTAGCTGATGTTTGGAGCCGACTTCCAGCAGAAGTCAGTGAGTCAGTCAACCAGTAAGTTTCAGCATGCTTGGGACAAACACGGATCTAAACTGAGATCAAATCTGGAAAACAATAAATAAATAGTGCAGACTGGATTGGTCTTTTTCTGCCGTTACACTTCTATCAGGGTTATGCACTAGAAGGGTGAAGAGTTAGGAGAAGGCAAGGGAAGTGAACAATCTAGGACGACATAGCTGGACTGGAAAGTGAGCTGAACTGGAACATTTTTCCAGCTCCGCTATGTCGTCCTAGATTGTTCACTTCTCCTTCTCCAAACCCTTCACCCTTCTGTGAATAACCCTCTGTATGTTTGTATCCTGAAATCATCATTCATTGGTCCACTCCTGCTATTGTCCTGCTCATGTCAGCTCTTCTTCCATTGCAGCTATTATTCTTCTCTGCGTCCCCCACCATGTCCTCTCCTCTCTCCCATCTTTTCCTCTGTTGTACACTAGATCCTCCTTTGTTCTTCATCCCCAGACACGCTCTCTGGGTTTCTCACGGTTGTTCCTTTTTCTTTGCAGGAATTATTGCTAAAGACAGCACATCCCTTGAGAAAGGAATATTTGAGATGCGGGGAAGCGGTCACGATGGCCCAGATTTCGAGCTGGCAGATATATTTTACTTCTGTCGGCAAGGCATGGAGAGCATCATGGACGATGAGGTGACCAAGCGCTTCTCGGCAGAGGAGCTGGAGACGTGGAACCTCCTGAGCAGAACCAACTACAACTTCCAGCATATCAGCTTGCGGCTCACTGTGCTGTGGGGGCTGGGCATGTTGGTCCGCTACACCTTTCTACTGCCACTCAGGTGAGTCTCTGATCATTGCGTCCTTCTGCTTTTGGCTTGGAATATTTCCATATATTTCTGACTGTCCGCAATGTCTCTCTCTGTAGGATTGCCTTGGCTATCACAGGGGTCAGTCTTCTGGTGTTTGGAACTACTGTAGTTGGATACCTACCAAGTGGCTGGTTAGTGTCATTCCATGTTTTTAATATTTGCATATGGTGCTCAGCCTTTCAAACCTGAAAGAACACTGCATTACAGCTGAACTCTATAGAAGTAAAAATTGTCTATTCAAGAAACACGTGTATTTCTACTTGACTCTTGATGTGCTTTGTGTATATCTGCCAGATCTGTGCATTAATCCGGAATACAATTTTGCCTCTACGCAGAGCTACCTGTAATAAAGACCAGTCACTGCTGCTCTCTCTCACTGCTCAGGGTGACTGGTCTTGTCTCCGCTCCCTCCTGTAATCAAGACCATTCACTGCTGCTCTCTCTCACTGCTCAGGCTGACTGGTCTTGTCTCCGCCCCCTCCTGAAATCAAGGCCAGTCACTGCTGCTCTCACTGCTCAGGCTGACTGGTCTTGTCTCCGCCCCCTCTGGCAATATTCTGCAGGCAGTCTGTAGTGGGTGGAGCTGCTGGGCCCCTCCCACAACTCTGCTCTCTGCACAGGCTATGTAAAGTGATGTTGTCACCACTACTTATGCAAGGTAATATATATGCTTGCAAAGTCATTTGGTGCAAACAAAGTGGATTTATATCCTGTGTGGCTATTGGGGGATATTTAAAGTCAGGACTTCTCTAGAGTCTCTCCCATCCTCTGGAACTCTTTACCCCAACCTGTCCGTCTATCGCCCACCTTGACTGCCTTTAGGCGTTCCCTAAAGACTCATCTCTTCAAGGAAGCCTATCCCACCTCAACCTAACCACTGAACCTTCACATTCTCAAATAATTCATCCCCACACAGCTCCCTCCTCATGTATCATTTCCCCCTCCTCTTTTAGATTGTAAGCCCTCATGGGCAGGGCCCTCCTTACCATCGTGTCTTGAATTGTATTGTAACTGTAATGTCTTCCTTATATTGTAAAGCTCTGCGCAAACTGTTGGCGCTCTATAAATACTATGTAATAATAATAATAATGTGCAAGAATTATAAGCACTTTTATTGATCTGTCGCATGTGTCGTTAAGCCAACGTTTCAAGGCCACGCAGGGTCCTTCTTCAGGGCGACATAGTGGCCATAGTCACTGTCGTCCTGAAGAAGGGACCCTGCGTGGCCCCCGAAAAATTGGCTTAACAATGCATGTGACAGTTCAAATAAAGTGCTTATGCTTCTTGCACATAATGTCGAGTGCTGGTGACTTCTATTACTGACTGTATCTTACACAGCGCCATCCATGTTGTCACTTCGAGCACCAAACTTCTGTATTTGAAGGTCCACATGCTGTATGGGGTGCAGGTGATTCTTTGATACTTATATTTAAAGCCCGGCACTAGGGAAATGAAAAGTTTTGCCTGGCAGTGGAGCTGCCCCCGCACTGCAAGGGTTAACCACAAGTTGATGCCTAGGGGAGCGGAAAAAGCAGTGTCATATGCCTGATTCTGCTCCCTCCGGGCTCCTTGACGGGACCTGGCAGTCTATGCTCCTCTTTGCTTCAGCAGTCTAAGGACCAATGACGTCATTGGTCTTCATAACCCTGTTGTAATGAGGACGCCGAGGAACACGCCACAGCCGGAGCGGAGGGAACAAGAGGAGAGCGCTGACTGCCAGGGTCTCTGCAGGGAGAGCATCGGAAAGTCAACGATCTGCGGTATGTGTTCGCCGAGTTTCCAGTCAATAGAGCTGACACGTGATAGCTTCAGTGTCACAGGACGACTTGAATTATGGGATGTGTGTTTTTCACTCACCCCATGATTCTCCTTTTACCTGTGCTAAGACGTTCTTCTCATTGGCCAGCATTGTGCTCGATCCCCTTGTGCAGCCGAGCTTGTGACAGCTGAGACAGGAAGTACTGTGAGTACAGAGCTCCTGTCTTACTGATCACACAGGGTTCCCCTGTCTGCTCCCTGCTCTCCATTTTTAAGTCATTTGCCGTGGCCTCCCAGAAGAGCGGGAGACCCTGAAAACCACAGTGAGGTCCCATTCACACTGAGCGATTTATTGCGCGATTTTTGCAGCCATATCGCTCATATTTCCACGCGATATCGCTCTATGTAGCTTCTCCAATCCATTTCAATGGAGCTGTTCACATCTCGTCGCTCAATATCGCTTGTAGCTCGTCGCTGGTAGCTTGTCGCTCCTACATGACCCTTTTTTCGAGCGATTTTGAGCGATATTGCTCCTGATTGCATACAGCCCAATAGGAAAAAGTCGCGCAATATCGCTCGTCGCGCAATATCGCTCATAATCGCGCGATTTTCATGTCGCTCAGTGTGAATGGGGCCTTAGGTGGGGAGCGGACAAGCGGGCTGCTACAAGTGGCCCGAGTGCCTGTACAGCTGCCCAGGTCACTTTTACAAAGCGAGCGGCGACTCCCCTGCTCTACATTTAGCCCTGCAGCAGGGCTAAATGTAGGAAAACAAACCTGCCCGACACACAGAACTGCATGTCCCGGGCATTGGGCGATTGGAATAGCACACCCCTGTAAACAGCTTTTTCCTGTCCTCTAGCTATAAACATAGTTAACCTTTGCAATGAAGGGGCAGCCCCACTGCATGGAAAAACGTTTAATTTCCCTGGTGTTCGCTTCCCGAATGTGAGGGGGGCGTTTTTAGACTTCCTCGCTTGTCCCACTCGTGCGTGCTGCTGGGTGAGTCTAAACACTTGGTTCTCAACTGGTGGGTCGCAACCCTGTGTTTAGTGGGTCACCACATACCTTCCACTTTTCTAGGTGAGAGGCTCCTCTGCCTCCCCCTAGCGCAGCACTGTCAGTTCTCGTGCCAAGCAGCCATTCAAAACATGCTGCCCGGTGCCGAGTGTCAGCTTGAGGTGGGATGGGATGGAGCTCCATCCATACGTGCATTGCTTACAACTCCCTCACGTGTCCTGTACAGGGGCCCGGACCGGAGTGACGTCACATTCTGGCTCCCGGCACCCCTACACGGCACGCAATGGAGCTGCATAAGCAATGCACATATTAGTGGAGCTCCATTACAGCACAGCATCCCACACTAGACCCCAGGCTGAAGATCCATTCCAGTTGTCGTAAGATAGAGAGACTGGGTGGATCTTGAAAAAAAAAATGGCACCCCAAACTCGCTTCCCACCCACAGTTCGGTCCCCCACACCGGAACGGGAGGTACCGCAATGCCATGCGTTCTATTGCAGTGCGACTCTGGTCATGACTTACTGACCAAGGACAAATGTGGGTCCTGAGGTTACACAGGTTGAGAACCTCTGATCTAATCCAAGGAACAAGTAAAAAAGCTGAGCTTTTATTTAGCTGCGGAAGCGTTCCCGGCTCGGCTCCCGCTGAGTCGGCACAATTTAGTGATGGATATAGAAAAAAACGGGTTTTATTTTGTAGATTAGATTTCCACAGTACTTCTCTTCCATCGCATGGAGAGGAGATGAAAACATTGCGCAATTTTATTTGTTTATTGTCAAACGGCCAGTAGCAGCCTGAACATTTCAGCAATGTTTTGTGTACCTTTTTATATTTTAACCCCTTCATGACCAGTGACGTACATAGTACGTCACTGCTTTAGCCGCCGGGACTCTGTTTACATTTGTAAAGACGACGGTCGGCTTTACAGTAGAAGTGATTCTGGCGACTCCGCTGCCGCCAGATCGCTTCTACGGGCCGGTACATTTTTAACCTGGACATGTTGGGTATCTATTTACTCGTTGTAACCTCATCTTTTTATATGTTATTTTAAAAATGGGTTTTTTGTTTGTGTTTTGGGGCACTAAATTTAACTTAGTGACATTAAACCCTCCAGGTTTTTTAACATAAACCAATACTGTAATGTGCGCCTTACTGCAATCCATGGTTGTTTCCCTTCTCTTTGCTGCTCTTCCTTTTTAAATCCTCATGTCTTCTCATGCTTGGGGAGAACTTCCGTTTTGCAGCAGACTGCCTTGTCTCTTAAATGGATACATGGTGTCTGTGTGAAGGTTCACAGCCTGAGCCAGCACTACAAGAAGAGGCAGTCAGCTGCAAAGGGAAGTTCTCCCCAAGCATGAGAAGAGATGAGGATTTAAAAGGAAGAGCAGCAAAGAGAAGGGAAACAACCATGGATTACAGTAAGGCGCACATTACAGTATTGTTTTATGTTACAAAATCTGAGGGTTTAATGTCACTTTAAGTGCATTTTTCAGTAAATTTGTGGGTTTGATAAGTTGCGCTAATATCGTGCAACAGAAACATTTGCAACTGCCGACATTTTATTCTACGTTGTCTAGGCTTTCAGAAAATATGTAACGTTTGGGGGTTTGAAGTAATTTTCAGGCCTAAATGTGCATTATAACATGGGTGCAAAAAAAAAGAGGCCTCGGTCATGAAGGGGTTAATAATGTCTGGTGATGAATTGGCTCCTGAACATTTATTACTTTTCAGGTTTAAGGAGTTCCTCAGTAAACATATCCATCTGATGTGTTACCGGATCTGTGTGCG